AAAAACTTTTTTTTCAACAAAAAAAAAAAAAAAAAACAAAATATATATAGGTTTTGAAAAAGCCCTTTAAAAAAAAATTTTTTCCCCAAAAAAAAAATTAAAAAAAAAAAAAAAAAAAAAAAAAAAAAAAAAAAAAAAAAAAAAAACATTTTTAATGTGTTTATGTTGTAGAAACTAAATGTAAAATAACAATGCTAGCTCTGTGACCTATTTTCAACATGGCGGGTACTAGGGTTATCGCCGGAGCAACTGTGGAGCAAATCATATCGTCTTTACAGTGTTAAAACACAATGCTTTCTTAATTTTATGAAGAATACGCACTGGAGATGCTTAGGTACATCTCAGAAGGATTGGCGTACACCAGGATAGGCCTACCCAGTTTATACACGTGTAGTGGCTGGCCGGGATTGACCCGGTGTGGCATGAATCGTTCGGAGCGTGAACCATCAGTTCTGCTCATGTGCACAAAGCGCAGGCATATCTGAGAGATTTCCGGCGAGCCATCGATACATTCTTAGACTTAAATAAATATTCGCTGTTGAGAGCATACTGCAAATTCAAGCATAATCTTTAGAAGTATTCATATCTTATAGATGTTCACCTCTACTGCGATTTCCCTTAGGTGGCCATATCAACACACTAGCCTAGTAAAATGAATACAAAATACTTGTAGTAGACCAACAGCTGAATAACAACGGCCCGTCCACGGTAGGTTCATCCATGCGACGAACTGTAATTTGACGCTGATTCTCTATCAAAAAATATAAATTAACACATGAATTTTACCGAGAAATACCCTCAATATAGTAAATATATAAATGTTATAATGAAATGAACTAGTCGAACATAACAGTACAGGTGAATAACAACGGATCATTCACAGAACGACTCATACACGCGTCTGTTGCGTGTACCATCGGTCAAGACGGATGGTTCACGCAGAACGGACCGTACACGTTACACCGGGCTCGGTAGCTCAGTTGGTAAGAGAGGTCGCACGATTTGCGAGAGTCCCGGGTTCCAGTCCTGGTCGAACCTTGCAAGAAAATTGTTACTTATGAGTACCTTCCCAAGTTTCATGTAGGCCATACAGTAGGCCTATCGGTAAGACATTTAATTGAAATGGTTCAAAGTAATTAGGCCTATAGTAGGCCGAGGCCTACAAGTAAAAAAAACACAATGCGATCTACCGATCGCCTTCGCCGATTCAGCCATCATTTTAGATTATTGATGTTAATTTTCTATCTTTAATTATTTGTCATATCTAGATTCAGGCCCTATTTGAGTAACGGTTTTCATGGAACGAAAGACAATCTGACTAATTCGCTTCTTCTAATTAAAGGTTGTTCGAATTAAGCTAATATTTATTTAAAACATTCTGCACTGTAATGATGAAAATATTTTAAAAGGAAAATTGCTTGCTTGTCATTTGCCATTGACTTGAACATTTTCAATGAGCGCTCAAATTTAGAAGGCCTACATCAGTGCGACCGAATCTGAGAATTGCCCTTTTCCATTGCTCTAGAAAACACAACAAACATTGTCTCAGGAGCCCTTCTTCAAATAATAAAAAAAATCCACACCGCAATAAATAAATTAATGAATATATATAAAAGTGTGGTTACTCATACTCGTTTTCCAAAAGTTAGAAGCGCCACTTCAACTACCGGTACATGTTCCTGGGTAAAATAACACTGAGGCTGAGGTAAGAAGAGTGCTTACGCATTCGGATGCATCATGTTCTAGTCAACCACAGTCTTCAAAATAAATACATTTAAATAAAAAAAACGTCGCATTTAACTCCAAAAGACGCAAAAATCTAATAAACACCAACTGCTGAGAAATGTAACGTAAACACCTCTGTCTATGGACCAAAAATATACCACATTTATAAATCATGCATGTTTCAAATCAGAAACTGCTTTGATTCCTCTAATGCTACTGACATGAATGTTTTTGTCATATCTCCACTCGTTTACTGCAAGGGCGTTTAATGAATTTTCCTTGGAAATAGGGCAATTTGCTCCCAGTTTTTAATTTTTGCCAGACCCGTTTTGGGTTCATTGACTTGAACATTTTTGTTTCATAATGGGGTTCTCAATGACTGAGACTCGCTGCCCATTTATTTTCCTTCATGGCTGTGCATAAACAGTACACGTATAGAAACGCCTACATAAAATTCGATGGCTTTGTTTGCTTTTTTTTTTTTTTTTTTTTTTTGCTAATTATTATTGTTCTTTGCTAACACTTAAAATCATACATGTTATTTAAAAAGTTATACAAGTTATACTATTTAAACAATTGCTTCAGTGATATTGTGATTACAACATATTTTATGAGTATAGTGAAAAATACGGACTATTTGATATTTTTAATATTATATAAATAATACAGTAGTACACAACCACTGACAAGTAACACCATAAATAAAGTTTCAGATATTTATTTCTCAACTTTCTTATTTAAAGACGAGGTCTTTTTACACTGAATACGCAATTTGAAACGTGGCAAGGTTACTGTACGGGTGCATGCGGTAATCTGCATAATACAGAAGACCATCATGTGGATTGTAATTTAGCATGGAGTTGCGTGAACTAGGTTGCTGGTAAGTTCCATCTCTTGACGAGGGCATCTCCTGTTTCCCAGTACTGGTGTCGTAGGTATAGCGGATGTAATTTCTCGATGAAGTGTAGCTAGCCGCACAGTAAAGAACTCCGCATTTCATGAACGTGTCTCCGATGGTCCTGCTGTAAATGGTCGTCGTCCAGGAATTCTCCACTTTGAGAGTGTCCGGGTTTATCTTGGCGATGACCAGGTTACAGTTGTCAGTCACGTTCCCGTACACTAACCACAGTCCGAACTCGTCCACGGCAAAGTCAGCCATAGTTCTGGGACCGAACGGATTGTAACAATAATTATTATTGGTTCCACTATCTAAGTCCTTTATCTCTTCTTCAATCAAAATCTTCATTTTCTGGAGATCATATTTTACAATATTCTTAGTACGGTATGACTGAAAATACAAATTATTTCTGTATACGACCTGCCCGTTTCCGATCCAGTAATATGGAAGAGTTATTGTATTTGACGCATTCTGCTTACTTAGTTTCATGTCTTCCAAAGTGTCAAATGCAACGACAACTTTATTGTGATTTCCTTTGAAAAACCACACTTTGTTTGAAGAGCTTAGATCTGTGGGATGGGAATCTTTCATCCACGAAGAAGAAGAGTACTTTGCTGGACTATATTGAAAGACCATGGACGTGTTCCCAATTCTAATAGAGCCGCCAGGCAGACATTTTGTCCCTGTAAAAATCACGAGTTATTTTTAATTAATTAATTAATTAATTGATAATAATAATAATAATAATAATAATAATAATAATAATACATGTAAGATGCATACAGAGTAAATTATTATGACACTTTACCAAAGGGCCCCTGTCTTGCAGACTCAAGACTTTCGTATTTGCCATTTTTACACAACAGATAAACCAAATCGTTTTTAGGATAAGAATTGTTTCATAAACGAATGTCGATGCCGGTAGAGAAATATAAAACAGACAGAAAATTGTCTTTAATTGTGCAGATACTGAGTGTCTGAAAATTTATATTAGCCGTTGCAATTGTCATCGGCTGCGTCTGCGTAAGCGTTGTTGTCACCGCGCATTTACCTAGAGGACACCACAGATGGAAAAGCATTTACGTATTATTTTTTAACATTGAAAGATTGAATTTTCCTACTAAAAAAATCCTGAAATCAGCCTCGTTGGATCAATCTTCTTGAATTTATGAAGATTTTTTATCGAATAGTTCATCTTTCACATTTTAGCATTGCTGTACATTGTAAGCAAGAAAACTATAAAGAGAAAACTTGCAAAAATGATTTAAAAAACTGAAATACGTCGAGTTTGAATCTTCCTACTAAAATAAAGCCCGAAAACAACCTCAATGGATTACTTTTCAATTTATTTATTTATTTATTTAATTTTTGCTGAAGTTTCATCTTTCACATTTTGGCAATGATTAAAAATTGTGCATTTCAAACGAGAAAACTATAAAAAGAAAACTCGCAAGAATGATTTAAAGAACTAAAAACGTCTTAAGTAAAAAAAAAAACAGCCTGAATAAACCACCTGACGCATCCATCAGTGATTGAAATTGAAACCTGAATATCAGGTAATTTCACAATTTTAATATGCAAGCGGTTATACATGTACATGTACTTCTATTGGAACTGGCCACCATTTTGCGTATTTAAAATTTCCTGTCCAAGGGGTCTTTGACGCTTTTAGTGTTTAAACTATTCGAGCTCAAGAAAATGCATGTTGCTACGATATTTTACGTTGCAATTTTGTTTGCTTGAAATTTCATACATAAACCAGTAACACCGACACTTAATAATAATAATAATAATAATAATAATAATAATAATAATAACCTTTATTGAAACATCGCAACCCGAAGGCTGAAGTTATATACCTTTTATTTATCTATTTATTTATTTTTTTGATCAATCTTTTTTAGGTCAGAGATGCCTGGTC